GTTTGCAGAGCCCTGCAGCAGGGGGGAGGCGGCTCCGGTCCTGTCCCGTCCGCTGACCCTATCTAAACGAGCCATTGCTGCCTGACTTGTTCTGCAGAGAGATCCTGCGAAAGCGAGACACGGGGGGAGGTAGAGGGGAGGAGGAGAGAGCTGAGCTGTCACCTGGGGCCTGCCTGGCTGGCCGGCCTGAGAGTGGCATGGCCTTCCTTGCAGCCAGAGGTTGGCCCCCATTAGTGTCCTGGTGCAGAGCAGGGGCGCAGATCCCCTCCTCTGAACCCCGGGCGTGTGTTGGGGCGAAAAAACAGCGAGCCCGCAGCGTGGGTGCATCAGACTCCACCGTCCCTGCTCCCGCTACTCCTACATTATAACTGCAGGAGGCGGATGTGCTGCTGCCGTTGTCCCTTGCCCTGCCTTGGTGTAAAAGCGCGGGGATCCCACCAGGCCAATGGGTGGAGCAAAGGTACCCCCAGAGTCACAGCCCGGCCCGCTGTCCCAGGCCTTTGGGCCGATGGGAAAGAGAAAACAATGGTAATGGAACGTTTACACTCTGCGTGCCAGGCCGGTCTGCGCTCCAGATGGAGACGCAGGGAGGGGGAGGCGTGTGATTCCCAATATGCATATTCCCAGGGGCTTCTCCAGCGGGCCCCCAGTCTGTGCCTTTGTGTGGGAATGAGCCACCTGGGCTGCACTAACCCGCGCCTGTTTCCCCACCAATGGCCTGGCTGGCGCAGGAGGAGGATGGAATTCAGAGCTGCACCTGCTCACAAGCTGTGTTTAAACGCGAGCAAGCCGGACTTGAGTTCCAAGCCAGCGAGGATCTCTTTCCACTCCCCGATCTCTGTGGGCAAAATCAGTGAGGGAGGGGGATACAAGATGGGAGCAGGAGACCTTCCTTCACCGTCAGAGAAGGAAAACCCCACTGGGGAAGAGAGGCTTTATTGCATAAAATTATCAATCCCCCTCTTTTAACAGGGGAGAGCGGCGGTGTCCTGTCTCTATAACATGAGGCTGTAAAACACCAGGAAAGGCTACTCTGCCTCCCATGGAGCACATGAATGGGACTTTTTAGGGGGCCTCACTTTGCAGCCCTTGGGCTTGCTTTGCTCAGAAACTGGGGGCCTATAGAAACATGGTGTTTTAAAATCCTGTGATGAACTCAATAGTTGCAGATTCAGGGGAGAGAGAATTGAGCAGTTCCTTATTTATTTTATTTTTCTAGCCTTCAGCTCTTTGGTCCCTTTGTTATTTTGTGAAATTATGTTAAGAAACTGGTGAGTTCTTAGCCATGCACCGCAGCCTCCTG